GTATAATCACCTGAATATTGAAGTTATTGTGTTTTCATTACCTTAGAAGTAGCCATTTTTAGAGGGAGTGGGTCCTCTTCTACGGAGTCCGCCATTTTTCTGCAGTAGCCAAGAACGGACAAACCAAACACTGAACGTCTGAAAGTGACGATGGAAGGATGCATATATCACTTGGCAAAACAAAATAACTTTACACTCACAGCTACAATTAATTCTGTAATAGTTAATTGATTGAATAATTGATTTACATTTACATTTGAAACTGCAGTCACTTATTAACTTTAAATTGCTTTTGGAACTTTCACTTGCTCAACATGCTTTTCTATGAAACGATGAACAGATGGACAGATTGATAAAGGCCTAAGTGGTCAGAATGTGACACAGCAGTCTGTTTTGCATTAGTTCTTCAAACACAGGAAGTCATTAGCTTTGTGATTATTTTGGTGCTTTATGTCTCGTGTGTGGGGAAACGTATAGACACACATACATATACCAACCTGTCTCCCCCCACCCACAGAGATGACCTTCATGCAACTGAGTCCGCACTAAATATACCTTTATCAAATTTGAAAACCACATGTGAAACTGCTTCAGACGTCATCACTTAAAGCCATGTAAAAAATGTTTTCAAAACTGAACATGATTTTAAAAACATGCTGTCAATTTTTCCTACACAACTTATAATGTTTATGTTGGTTCAGTCTCATTATACTACTATCTACTGGAATAGATTTAACTTCCCATTTAGTATTCTACTTGTAAGGACATTTGAGACTAAATAAGAACCCCATTCTGGTGTCTGTATTAAATCAAATGGGATAAATCTTAGTTATGCTACATGAACCAAAAAAGGCAGATTTGATAACATTTTTGATAGAGAGGTCAAAACATGTCCCCAAATTATTGACTGTGTAGCTCTGACAAATTGTGCAGCCATCAACATAAATAGAAATAAAACCTGTTTTATGTCTCGCTGGATATTTTTTAATTGTTTAATCTTTAATATAGTAGGAAGTCTGCACATATCTAGTGATGTCCAAGTTGCTGATGAGTCATTTGCAGTTACAGGAAGATAGATGTATGTGTCGTCAGCATAGTAGTGATATTTCTTTGAAGATGTGACCAATTGGCAACATACAGTCACACACAGAACTAAAGTGGTCCAAGTATTGATCCCTGTGGAACTCTGTTATTTTTGAGTGAAGTAAACACTAAAATCATACGAAGGAGGCAAAGTCAGTTTAATACTTTTCAGTTTAATTCAATACGCTTTCTTACAAGTATGTAAGCGGTATTCAATATAGGCTTACTCCACAAAAATCATTATCTCGTAAGGATTAAACAAACATGCCATTGAAAGAGTCAAGACAATATGAAAAGAATCACTTTGGTAAGCTAACAATTTTGCTCTATTACTGTACTAAATATGCTCATTTTCAACTGTTATGTGCAGCAATTGGAGATGTGGCACTTGCAGACATTAGGAATTGTAAAAGCATTCAAAGTGAATAAAAAATTAACATTGCAGCCCATACAAGGTGGAAGGAGGTTATAATTATATAGACATAGCTTTCGTATCATTACTGTTTAATGTTAAATGCTTAAATAGTAATTGTACCTGTATCATGGATGAATAAACAAAAAGGGCATGAATCATACATGTGTAGGAAGTCCCTAAACAAATATGTAATTTGTCAAATGTCAGTCTTCCCATCATTTGTTAAACAATGAGAAACCTGAATAGTTTCTATACCTATCTGTCCTCCTACAGTACCTCCACATACCACCAC